GAGTATAACATTATAACATGATATAAAACTCAAAAAAGTTGATTTTACATGACATTGCCCCTTTAAAATATGTTTTTTTGAAAAAGTCCAATAACTCATTCCATAACTGAGGCATGAACTAGCTTGAAACCCATTTAAAAAAATGCAAATCCTTACCTTGACACAAGGTGGCATGGTTATGTTAAGATTACACAATACATGCTGTGCGTCCTCATACTTTGTGCTTTTCCTCAGGAAAGACAAAAAACCAGTTGCTTCTTTGTTGCTGTCTCTGATCTAGCATTGATAAGATGATCCAAGGTGGAGGGAAAAGTATTGAATGGCAGAAAAGACAAAAATGGAGGAATGAGCAGAGAAGAATGTAGAAAAGGACAGAATGAACAGAAGAGTGGGGCAGAAAAACAAAAAAAGGGGAGGAAAAAGACCAAAACAGYTATTAGTTTCCTTCATATTGTCTCCAGTATGTCGCGTAGAATCATTGGACCAGAAGCAAGAGGGGAAACTGGGATGGAAGCAGTCCACAGGCAGGCAAGAGAGAGAGAGATTTACCTGCACATTTTACCTGGACGTCTGTCAGACCAGACAGTTACAGAGTGACAATGAGAGAAAGAAAGAAAGACAGTGAGACAGACACATACAGACAGGAAGGCCGCAAGATAGGAAGGCAAGCAAAGAAAGTGAGGGAGACACGGGATGTGCAAACAATTACCCAAGAGACTCTGCAGCTAAACAGGTAAGCTGATTGGTGCAGAATTAAAAGTAGCTGATACTAAACAGTACTTTAAGTTCTAGTGAAGGAAACGAGGACACACATTGGTGGAACWAAAAAAAACACATTTAACACATTAAAAACACACTGATATGGTCACAGGARGGGGAAGAAAAGGCCACAGAGTTTACGAACATTTTACATTTACATGAATTTCTCATACACTTTCTACAAAATGTAAGGAAGCAGGACCAAGAATATTTGGACACAAAGACAATATCTTTATTTTACTCCAAATGCCCACAAATCAAATTGTTAATTTCTACTCATCTAGCATTCTTTATCTGATGTATTTAATTGATTTGTTGAAATTTAAGGAAAATATTTAGAGCCACAACGAAAACAAATCTTTATATATATACTGTATACTTTAGATTTTCTTTATGAATAAAAACTTTTTTTTAACTGATGAGGCAATATTAACCTTATAAATCTCATTCAAGTATGTCAGGCAAAAAACACTTTTTTTGTATGTGGTGTTGTTATGGTGTCAAGTTTTTGTTCTTATCAGAATGTGACAGTAAAAAGTAAAAACGCACATAAATCAGTAAAAAAAAAATCACATTATGAACAGGATGTTCAGGTGATCAGAATGTGTTCTGGAGGGTAACAGACTATATGGAAAGAGGATCTTTCATGTGATAAAACTAAACAAGGCCCAAAAACACTGTGTGTTTATATGGTTACAGACAGAGAGATGAAGGTACATGAACAGTCAGGTAGAGACAGACCTTAACAGAAACAGGCAGTCTGTTGTCTCTGAAGGCCTGGAAGCTGAAGCTACGAGGCTGCTGAGTGGCCTTTCGGATGGGCACCAGGTTCCCAGAACACTCTAAGTGCAGAGGCATGCCTTCCATAAGCTGTGGAAAATGTTCAAATGTTAAAATGAATGATCTTGGTATTATGTATTTTCAAGGAACATACCGGTAGTTTAACTCTACCACAATCAAGAACAGTAACTATGTTGCCTTCAGTTGTTTTTAAAAAGGCTGTACATATCACAAAAAAAAAAAAAAAAAAAAAAAAAAWYKAAAACATTGCATCCATTCTAAACACCTTGAAATTGGCCTCTGTCTCTTTAGGAATCTCCTACCAATTCCAACACTCCTACTTCAGCACGTCATCACAACCTTACGTAGGAGGAAAGTCGAACCATTTTTGATGAACCATGTCATCCTAAGAAATCTTTTAAAAAAGGCAGTCTCCTTGGTGTCCAAAAATACCTTGATAAAGGCATTTTTTAATCTGAAAAGTAAATGGTAAATGGTCTGTACTTGTATAGCGCCTTTCTATCCAACCAGGATACTCAAAGTGCTTCACGCTATAATCTGTGCCCTCATTTACCCATTCACACAGCGCTCTACTTAGCCTGGTAAAACCCAGCCTGTTGTTCTCCACTTTGCTTCGTACAGAGGGTCTGGACTCTTGGCCATTGAGAAGCGATTGCTTCCTGGAGGCGTGGACTCTGTTGAAGTTTAAGAAGATTGGATCTGATTTACCCAATCGCTAAAAACGGTTGGCCGCAACGCATGTACYCCAGTGTGAAGGAGGCTAAGCTAAGAAGCTAACCAGAAATTGCATGCWCGCTGTGAACAACCATCCCCTACTCGGAGAAAAGAAGTACAGAGCCAAACGAGKTGGCTGTAAATAAGTCCTGCAGGCTTTGTGAGACTAATTTAATTTAGTTTGAAAGCCTTATCAACACGGACAGGCTTCATTCACTTCCTCCARTGCCATTAAACTACAAGCAGACACTGCYCAGAAAATCGACATTGTTCAAAACCCCTCCTGCTGTTCACTGATTGGCCCAGGTAAAATTCTACTGAAGAAATCCTTTTCTATGGGAGAAATCCTAGACGGAGCAGCGAAGGGAAACTAGAATTGAGTGGAACTTCGTAGGAAGGCAAGGACCAGGCTACATCCTACTCAAAATGGTTGATTTTGCATAACACACCCCTTTGAAGTAAAGCTTTAAAAGCATCTATTTAAAAAAAATGAAAATGAATGTTATTCATGAAATCTTCACTTTCCATGACTGCYATAATGTTCCTTTGTGCTGACCTCAATATCCCGACTTCGTGCCACTTCGGAGAAGTTTTCATGCAGCTCCAARGTTTTGTCCATCTTGTCGTCCGTCATGCAGTAACAGCGTAACCGCCCTTCACGCGCCTCATTCATCTTTGCAAAAATGACAAACTTGGCCATGTATGGAACCGACATCAGCTCCTTGTACAGCAAGTTGGCAAAGGTCACTGCCTCCGCTGTACGRGGACAATCTGCCAGCCAGAATCTGGAGAAGAAAGGAGAGGAATGGAGGAAGGTCATACTGGTGGAAATGATAGATATGTACACAAAAAAAGACTAACAAAAAGAAAGACTGGTAATAAATTTGTCTTGATTACCTTGCAGAAACATTGGTGGTGAAATTGGCACAGCTATTGGCGTACATCAGCTTGGTGGTTCCAGTGATGTCCTCCCACTGAGCTGGTGCTGTTCCACCTTAGTCACAACAAGCATAATGGGTTATATTTGTATAATCCACTCTAAAATTTTTAACACGTTTGAAGATTCAAGATGATGCAAAACAGATTTTTTTATTAATCATAAATAGTCTTATAGTACCTATGACGCTGCAGAGGAGGCGCAAGCTGGTGGTATCCCCCTCGCCTGCATCCCGTAGACTTTCCCTCCATGATGGTGGTAAAGGAATGCGGAGTCCGATCGGACGGTGAAATTTGCGTCTGCGAGGTTCAATGGTAACCACCGGACTGAAGGTCGCCTGGTTGCCCAGCTGCTTCGTCAACAGTTCATCTGGGATTGGTTGTGCCTGAAGTTTTTTTTTAAAGCAGTGGGATAAAATTTTATTAAAATGCCAAAATTACTGTTTTTTTTAAATGATGATGAAAATTAAACTCAAGACAAACACAGAATAACAAGCCAAAATGGTAAGCATGGAATTAACACAAATAGAAAAAGAAATAAATGTGCAAAAAAATGTAAAACTCACAGACATACTCACGCATGCAACAAATTATTATTATTTTTTTTTTACACTTGACCCAACTCAGACCAGTACATCAGCTCAGTCAGTGGCTCGCAACTTAAATCAGGAAATTGAGGAGTGACAGATGGCTGAAGGGAAACAAATCAGGGAAAAGGCAAAGCAAAACTCAGACACATGCAGTTCTTTAACACACATACACAAAAAAATATATATATTTCAGTCAGACAACGTAAAAAGGGTACTCTGAAATTACCCCACCTGAAAAAGGGGAAAAAAGTCCCGTACACTGTGTTCCATATGTGTCAGGTTATGTTTCTTTTATTCTTCTAAATATTACAGAATTAAAACTTTTTCAAACTTTTTTTTATAGAAAATAAAACTTTCTTTTTGTCTTAATGTCACTGATGGAGTCAGTTCAGTCTTAAAGTGACACAACCAAATGTGCATTAAAAATAAGAATATTTATATATGTAAACATCATTCTCTCCATCTGTTAAGCATCATTTGCACATTTTTCTCCCAGTCTTCCTGTCCCATCATCTTGTATTTCTACTGTAATGTCAACTCGTTGCATTACCTGCAGCCCCAGCCTGACTCTCTTAGTGACAGCGGTCTCAGGGAAGATGGCCTCCACACGGGGCACCAATTTACTACTGAGCCGGCCGCCCTCTGGACCGATCAGATCACTCTCCTGCTGAATGCGGGAGACGACAGCGAAGTAGAGGGGGAAGTCAGTGGAGATGATTCGACGGATTCTCTTCTTCTCCAGCTCCTCTTGACTCTCCAGTTCTGGGATGATGWTGAAGAACACACAGACACAGAAACACAAGCAAGCGGAAGGTTTTGTTTTAATCATAGATACATAAAGTAATTAAAAATATTCAAATTCAAAAAAATATTCATTTCATTAAAAAAATAACTATATACAATAAAAAAATAAAGAAAATACACAAATCAAAAAATAAAACGAAACGTAGCAGAAGAAGAATAAATCTTTTGTCTGCCCCTTTTAACCCCAGAATATATTCAAACAAAACATAATTTACAAAACAAAACTAAATAAAAAATAAAAACATCAACTCAAACAGCATTCCATAAAGCTTCACATTTTACTTTTCCATATACCTTCAGAAAACTGGCATTTTTAAGATTATCCTCCAGACTGTTCCACAATCCTGTACCCTGGATTAAAGTACATTTTTCTGCCCCTTTTAACCCCAGAATGTATTCAAACAAAATATAATTTACAAAACAAAACTAAATAAAAAATAAAAGCATCAACTCAAACAGCATTCCATAAAGCTTCACATTTTACTTTTTCATATACCTTCAGAAAACTGGCATTTTTAAGATTATCCTCCAGACTGTTCCACAATCCTGTACCCTGGATTAAAGTGCATCTTTCTCTTAAGCAAGTATATATGGCTTCACAAACATTTTCATCCCCTTAAGAGAATAACAACTGTCTCTCTTAACAAAGTTTACATGAATGTTGTAAGGTAGTATGCTTCTGTGAGCCTTGTACATAAACAGTAAAATATTATAGTCAACCAAATCACAGAATTTCAAAATTTTCAGTTTGCAAAATAATGTATTTGATGAATGGTTGTAATATTTTCTCGCGATAATTCTTARGGCTCTRTTCTGCAAAACAAAAATCGGATTTGTAATTGTTTTGCAAGCTTTACCCCAGACTTCAATACAGTAAATTAAATGTGAAACAATTATTGCATTATACAACAAAAGCAGAGCTTTGTCATTAAATGATTCCCTGACTTTATACAGTACTCCAATAGATTTAGATACTTTTGTTCTCAAATAATGCGTGTGAGGTCTCCATGTCAGCTTGTCATCAATGATGACACCCAGAAATTTCACCTCYCTGACTTTACAGATGGTATTGATACCATCTACTTTATATAAATATGCATAATACTACCCCCTCCTTTGTGGATGATTTTTGGGGTTAAATCTCTTGTACTATACGCACATAAATATGGTACTACACACCTCTGTTTACAACCAACAGCCACAGAAGACTTTCACCATTTACATGTTACTGTACTGAGACGGCTTTCTTTTAAAGATTTTTTTGTTTTTTATTTTTTTATCTTAGGTGTAATCTGTAAAATTATTTTGAGGACTAACCTTCGTCCATGCCGTTCAAAATAGTTTCTAGCACTTCATCGCCGTAGCGGTTGCGATGTTCCTTCCACACCGAGCCGTTTTCACTGCGGAGGACTACAAGCTCTCGGTCCCCGCGGGCCAACGAGGCAAAGTGTGGGATTTCTACTATCACAGGCCTGTGCAGAAGCAAAGAAACAAACAAAAAAAAATGCTTGTGTAAAAGTTCTGCATGTTGTCTAAAGCACAGGTCTTCAACCCTGATCCTGGTGATCCTCTGTCCCGCATGTTTTAGCTGTTTCCCTGCTTTGGCACAGCTGATTCCAATATTTAAATTACTCAAAAATGTTATTAGCTTTAGCCTGTCAATCCCTCATTAATGTCTGTCAGGTATACTAAAGAAGGGAAACATGCAGGATTGAAGAACAGAGTTGAAAACCTCTGGTCTAGAACGCCGATAAAAAAATAATAAAACAAGGTTGACTCACCCAAGAAATTGCATACTGGAGGGTCCCAGGGAGATGATCCTGCTAGCCAGACCCTCCCCCTCCACCAGCGGAGGAGGCGTGGTCAGTTTCTGCGGTTTTACAAGGCGACAGGTGATCCGTGTCGGGGCAGCGCAGGTCCGAGGGGGGATGATCACCCGCAGGCCGTGATGTCTGCTTCCTCGCATGGAACCTCCTCGTGCGTCCACCATGAAACTCACCAGGAACCTGAGTGTCACACAGTGATTGGACTCAAATGTGCCGACGGTCATTTTAAATCAAAATGCTGTACGAGTCTGCCAGCAGCGAACAGCAGTGTTGTCAGTGAAGAATAGATTATAAAGAGCAGATTTMGTGATGACCTCACCCTGTGTGTATGGGACTGGCCACTGGGCTGACATTGTCTGAGGTCTCAGTAGCTGGACTGCTCGGGATTAGTGAGTCCTCATCATAKTCTTTAGGCAAAGGGACAGGGGTGTGCTGAAGTCAGAGAAGGAGGGGAAAAAAGGCAGTAAAGAATCAGGAAGCAGTAAAATAATTATGTATGAAAACAATAATCAAGTAGAATGGTACACATCGCTGCATGATGAGTGGTAAAGAAGACCAGTGAGTTAAAGAAAACAACCAATGAGATGAATACCTGGTCCAGCTGAACAGTCTCTGGTGACACACAGGGGATTCTAGGAATAGCTGGAGAATATGGCCTGTGGCAGAAAAAAAAAACTGCATAATTTGAGGCTTACTACTAAATAAATATCTGTCTTATGCAATTGCATTTAGAGCAAGAATAATAGCTGTGTCAATTATTTAGTCAGCTGCACATTTGCTAATTATTTAACAATGGTAATTAAGTAAATTTACTTTGAATTCTAAGATTTTACATAAAATGATGTGGAAAATATATAGTTGACATTTTTTTGGTACTAAAATTAATTTCCTAAAACTTGAGATAAAAGGAACATTGTAATTTATTTTTTCCTTTTAAACCGTCAAGTCAAAGCACATACCGTATTATAACCATAGCTCGTATTTCAACTGTCCTGAGCCGCTTGTTYGAATTAACTTACGTGGTACCCGTGCCGCCATCAAAGTCTCGGAGGGTTTTCTTTGGGGACAGAAAGTCGTCGTCCTGGTCCTTGAAGTCGTCAAGTTTTAAGTAGCGCGCTCCGTCCAACCCAAGCAGCTCGTCTCCTGTGGGAAAATTACGAAGGTAGGAAGTGAGGAAGGCAGGGAAACAAATAGGTTGCAAAGAGAACAGAAACAGTTCAGAGAGAAGAAGATGGAATTATGAGAGTGTGATTAACACTTACAAGAAACACGTCTCTTAAATTTTCCAAATCAGGAAAAAAAAATCTACAAATAAAATTTACTGTGTGTGGGACATTTCAGCTTGTTGCAATATTTATTTTATGAATGCAAGTATTTCTAAAACTGAGCTTCTTATAAATTGTGTGAATGCTGACTCAGCATTGTTTTCTGTTTTTAACTTTAGATGTACRTTTTGCATTCTAACTACAAGAACTTCTGCCTATTTTGTGGTATTTTGACTATTTTGACATGAGAAAATGTTTAGTTCATTCAGGAGATGGAAACTATGACTTATGGTTCTTGTTTTTTGCGAGCAACTTCTATCCTTTTATACACTCTTCTTAAGCTAAGATTTTAGCTACTSTTTTGTTACTTTWAGCYAATATTTAGCTTTTGCTATAGATATCTTTCAGCCACCATTCTTGTACATTTAGTTAGCCTTTCGCTAATTCTAGCCTTTATCTTTCTGCTCCTTTTAGCTTGTAGCTATTCTTTTACTGCATTTAGCTAATGTTTTATGTTTTCAGCTACTTCATAAACCTTCAGAACAATGATTCAGCGCTCAGCATTCACACAGCTTTTCTCTAGCTCAGTTTTTGAAAATGATTTAATTGTTAGCAGTAATCAGTACTTGTCCTTTTCAGAAAATGGCCACAAAGACTAAAAAAACTGCAAATATTATCATTAATTATCCAGAGACAATGGGAACTAAAGGGGTGGAAGAAAAAAAAGAGTCAAACAGTGAGTTTTAACAGAGCTCAGGACACTGCATGAACAGCAAACTACAAGGCACCCGGTGCATGAGCATGCTCATTAAAGATGAAATAGTATGTGTTGATGGTAGTTTCTGTGTAAAAGAAAATATCTCAATTATTGAACAGGAGTGATGACAAAACAACAACTATAACTAACGTATTGAAAACACTTTGAAAAAAAAAGCTTATGGTTTAACATCCAACAGTACAAGCTGTTCAGGAAAAACCCCAGATATGCTGAGCATTAAAAGGAAATAAAATAAATTAAGTAAAACGACCAAAACAGGTTACAAAATGAGGTTTGCTTGTGATTATTTAAAGCCAAAGGATGGCTGCATGAACAGCAAGTCTTGTTTGTCAGAGGGGCATCACAGCTGCCACACAGCATGTGTTTAATCAGCTAATGACTCAGTACGGTTGTAGAAAGCACGAAGAGCGGCGACGCTAAATTGGAAGGCAGACATTTTTGTTTTCTATCCTGAAGTATTGGAATTTGGCCAAGAATAGCACCAAGAACAAATCTGAACTGGATTCTATTAACAAGAAAAGAAAAATGCTGTGAGTTTGAGCTGATGACAAGTTAAAATAAAGTCAGAACAAGTTGGAACAAAGATACAATAGAGAAGATGAAGACAAAGGAGCAAACAGAGCTGGAGTTGAGAGAGAAAAAAAKCCATTAGAAACACATTTAGCGACACACAGAGATGATGGGAGAGACTGTAATGAAGGCATAAGTTCGCCAGCCATTGGCTTGGAGTCCTACCTAATGTTAGCTGGGCAACCCCTACGAAGTAAACGGGAAAGAAAGCGGGGGTTATACGTCATCTGCCGTAAAGCACCATTGTACTTTTGGTATGTCAGTGTGCTTTCCATGCAGTTTACTTCCAGCAAAATTGGGATTCAGAGCTGAAAATGAAGTGAATCCAAGTTTTGCAGARTTTCATCTCAACAAAACAGACAAGCCTACCTTCATCTTCGGAAACATCCAAAATCTCATCTACCGTCTCAGGGAAGCTCATCCGGTGTTTCTCTGTGGTCATCTGAAGGACCATAGGAATGTTGGAAAGAAAAAAGAACAGTAAAAACAAACAAACAAAAGAAATCTGGATTAATGTGGGAAAAGTTATGTGACTAAATGTTAAATATTTTAGTGTTGCTTTATTTTGAAGCATTAATGAAATACTCACAGCGGACACAGACTCCTCAGTAACCAACTTTAACACATCGATAACAGAAATATAACCGAGCCGCTTAGCAATGCCCAGAGGAGACGTCCCATTCTGTGCAAGGGAATAAGATAAGCTTTACTCAAAATGTATTTCTGTTTCACAGAATCATTCCACAAATAGCTACAGCTCTGTCAACTTTACAGTTATGGACCTAAAGTTAGGTGTGGAAGTAGCTGAGCGTCATCTTAAACTAGTTCAATGTTGAAGTTCACATTTAGGTATCTTGGAATGGAACACAGCCTTGCTGTTGGTGCTCAGCTCGTGTTATGATGTCATCATCCTGAGACAAAAGCAATRGCTCCAGTTCAGCTAAAGCTTCCCTACAAGGCAACAACTTGCAGATGCAGTCGGTGTTCAAAGCTGCACTTTAAACGGCTATAGCACAGGTTCCGTATTGTTTTTCTGAACACATTTTGAATTTAGATTTAAAATTTTATATTTAGCAGTGTCAGAAGCGTCAGATAAGCAGCATGATGTCATCATTCTGCGACTAACATCAACAATGGCCGCCGCTAGCCACCACTAGCCGATGCTAATGCGGCTGACGATAATATTCAAAATCTAAATTCAAAATGCGTTCATAAAAATCACCATGTTGTACCTGTGGTCCAGCAGTTTGAAGTGCAGCTTTGAACACAGAATGCATCTGCAAATTTGATATCTGGTAGGCAAGCTTTAGCTGCATTGGAGCACTATTGTCTCAGGATAATGATGTCATAACACGAGCCGAGCACCAACGACAAAGTCTGTGCTCTATTCCAAAATACCTAAACGTGAACTTCAACATTTAAGGTTCAACTTTTACATTTAGATTTAAACATTTAGATTTAGGATTTGATATATTATAATTATTTTGAAAAATTTAAATTGAACATTTAGTAAAAATTAGCTAAATGTAAGAACAGTGAGCTAAATAACAAGAAAATGTTGGTTAAAAATTATTAACACTCAAAAAGTGAGCTAAATTATGAAAAATATGTTAACACTAATTTTTTAACATTTCATTTTTACACTTGGCGGACCCAGATTTAACTGCATCCTTTCTTATTATAAAAAAATATCCTAATTTTAAACCCTGGCCTGAAATGAAATGCTTGAATTTTCATCAACGCGCTTCTCTGCACTAACATACATTAAAACAGACCTGCAACAAGTGTTATTAGAAAAGCATTCATCCCATCAGATTTCTGCTTTCAATATCTGCACTTCATGTTTTACATCAATGCAGCTGATGAGGACAGATGTGAACGTCTCACCGAAGTAATTTCATTGGGCTGCGCTCCGTGTTTTAGCAGCAGGGTGACAATATCCGTGTGGCCCTGCTGAGCTGCCTGGTGCAGGGGGGTGTAGCCCATCTGCAGGGGATAAAAGTGGATGGTGGATGGTCAGACAAAAGAAGAGGCAAGAGAGCAGTGTTTCCAGCTCAGATGAAGAAAAAATARATAAATATATAAATAAAAATGTTACCCTCGTCTTAGCATTCACATGAGCCTGCTGCTGCAGAAGAAACTTCACCATCTTTATGTTGCCATAGTGGCAGGCCACGTGAAGAGGAGTGTAGCCCATCTGAAAGAGGATAGAGGCTCTATAGATTGACTGTTTTAATCGTGTGTGAAAAAGCGTACGAACATGACTCACCACAACCGTAAAAACACAGCGTCATTTAAACAGTTCACGTATCGTTAATTTTAAGATTTATGATTGTTTTTTTTAACACAATACAGCAAATGGAGACTGTAAATAACAAAGAAATGAAATCATTTCATCTTTAAAATGACTAAATTAAAAGATGCTGCGGTTTATTGTTTTACTGGTTAGGGTACTGTACTTTAAACATCTTTTAGCTTATCAAACCATTGATAACTAATTCTGTCAGTATTGTGGAGGTAGTTACACACCCGGGAAGCTGCGTAAACAGATGCTCCATGTTTGACCAAAGCGTCGGCGATGCCCACATGACCCTCCTGAGCTACAAGGTGCAGAGGGGTCAGTCCGTTCTGAAAGACAGGAAAAAAATCTCAAGAAACATATAATAAATCTGTCTTTAAGACAATACAATTTTTTTTAAAAAAAGTGTATATACAAAGCTTTGATTTAGCACCCATTTCAATGCAAATATTTAAGCTTTATCTTATCAACTTAATTTCACAACATCATAATTTTGGTTAGTTTCAGTTTTTGCATTTTCAAGTTTTGCCGTAGAACAGTAAATAAAATATATACAGGTGAGTTTGCAGTTAAGGAACAAGTACTCTCCTCTTCTGCAGCCAGGCCATTCTTATAATGTGCAGTGTAGTTTTTCAGTCTCCTTTTTATAAAATGCGTGAAAATCTTTGGAAGATATAGGCAGCCTGTGTTCACTAACATGAAAGCTGCCATGACAGATGTGTAAATCACTTTAGACAAAAGAGCCAATTCATCCCATCAGATTTTAAAGAATGTCGTTAGGTGGAGTAAGGCCAAAAAGGAGTTTAATATAGGATCTCTTTCCCTTTATTCACCAAAATTTCTCCAGATTGTATTAACTACTCTAGTAGTTATTGAAATAAGCATGTTTCAGATATACATACAGTGGGTAAATTAAGTATTGAACACGTCAATATTTTTCTCAGTAAATATATTACTAGAGGTGCTAATGACATGAAATTTTCACCAGATGTTGGTAACAACCCAAGTGATCCATACATACAAAGAAATCAAATTTCAGACCAAAACGAAACAAAACAAAGGAAAAAAAAACCAACAAAACCCCGAAAATGTCTGGTGAAGTGGGACAAGTCTTACTGTAGAAAACTTCATTCATTAACAGACAAAAAAAGATAATAAAATTAGTT